TACTTTCTTCAAGAGAGTCAGTACCATTAGACATGGTAAGTATCAAAAGCACACAACAAAATGAAATTGATTTTATTTTTATAGATGGGAGATGATTGGGTATAGGTGTGAGAGTCAATTAGCTGTCTGTGTAGTTAAAGCACCAATTTATTAAAACAAAGATCAAAATCAGTACCAATCTAGAAGAAACAATAAAAATTCAGAGAAGATAGGGCATTTAATTGAGGCAACTTCAGCTTGTTCTATTTAAACAAGCTGTTGATGCTGAAAAATAGGAAATGGATAAAATGATGTTGTTTCTTAGGGAAGTTTTAACTGATGTAAATTAATTACCCCAATGAGAAAATCAAGCAGATGCCTTGATTTCCTTACTAAGCAATGAAATAGGGCAGCCAAGGATAATACTGATTTAGAATGTTTAAACTCATTTGTATAATCTTACAGAGAAAAGTGGTAGACATTGAGAATCAGTGGAGGGAAAAACAATTTTAGAGAAAGCCAAGATCTTTTTTTTTTTTTTGTTTTTGTTTTTAGGCATTTGGGGTTAAGTGACTTGCCCAGGGTCACACAGCTAGTAAGTGTCAAGTGTTTGGTCTGAGGCCAGATTTGAACTCAGGTCCTCCTGACTGCAGGGCTGGTGCTGTATCCACTGTGCCACTTAGCTGCCCCAAGAAAGCTGAGATCATTTAAAGATGAAACTGGAAAGAGGATAACAGATAGAAAAAATAGAAAAAAGATCCATAAAGGTGGTATTGTTTTTTTTTTTTTTAAACCACAGATTTCTTTCTATCAATGACAATAAAATTACTGCATTTGGGCTCAGCACCATAGTCCCCAGTGAGGAAGCAAAAGGGAAGAGAGCTCTGCTGGTATAGATACAGGGGAGGTCCATGCTGGAGATGTCAATTTTGAGAGTATTAAGGTATTTATTCTCAAAAAATATGAAAGAGGAGAGACTATCAAGTGCTTGGGGAAAAAAATGGACCTATTGTAAGCCCTTAGCCAAAAAAAAAAAAAAAAAGATGAGTGAGAAATCATCAATGGCCAACAATCCAAATGTCTTTTTTCCTATCTCTATAAAATCTTTATGGGAATAGTCTACACAAGAATCGAGCACATCTTTCTTTCTTTTTTAAAAAAATTAATTTATTTTTAGTTTTCAACATTCACTTCTATAAATTTTGAGTTCTAAATTTTCTCACCCTCCCATTCTCCCCTCCCTAAGATGGCATGCAATATGATATAGACTATACATGTACATTCATTATTAAACACATTTCCACATTAGTCATATTTTTGGTTTGTTTTTTTTTTTTTGGTGAGGCAATTGGGGTTAAGTGACTTGCTCAGGGTCACACAGCTAGTGTTATGTGTCTGAGGCCAGATTTGAACTCAGTTCTTCCTGACTTCAGGGCTGGTGCTCTATCCATTGCACCACTTAGCTGTCCCACATTAGTCATGTTGTAAAGAAGAATTAGAAAGAAAGGGAAAAACCATGAGAAAGAAGTAACAAAAACAAAAACAAAAAAAAGAGAGAAAATAGTATGCTTCAATCTACATTCAGATTCCATATTTCCTTCTCTGGATGAGGATACCATTTTCCATCTTGAGTCTTTTGGAATTTTATATATATATATATATATGTATATATATATGTATATATATATGTATATATATATGTATATATATATATATATATGTAATTTTTTTTGCTTTTTTGATGAGGCAATCAAGGTTAAGTGACTTGCCCAGGGTGACATAGCTAGTAAATATCAAGTGTCTGAGGCTAGATTTGAACCTAGGTCCTCCTGACTCCAAGGCCAGAGCTCTATCCACTGTACCACCTAGCTGCCCCTGGAATTTTCTTAGATCCTTCCATTGCTGAGAAGAGCTAAGTCTATCAAAGTGGGTCATCTCACAATGTTGCTGTTACTGTGTACAATGTCCTCTTTGTTCTGCATACTTCACTCAGCATCAGTTCGTGTTAAGTCTTTCCAGGTTTTTCTGAAGTCTGCTTGCTCATCATTTCTTATGGAACAATAGTGTTCCATTACATTCATATACCACAACTTGCTCAGCCATTCCCTAATTGATGGGCATCCCCTCAATTTCCAAATCTTTGCCACCACAAAAGAGCTGCTATAAATATTTTTGTACATGTCGGTCCTTTTCCCATTTTTTTATGATCTCTTTGGGATACAGACCTAGAAGCAGTATTGCTCGGTTAAAGGGTATGTACAATCATAGCCCTTTGGGCATAGTTCCAAATTGCTTTCCAGAATGGTTGGATCATTGATTACTGTATTGATTAAAGTATTGATTGCTTTTGTCTTTATATCATAGTCCCTTAACTCTACCTCCATCACAGTTAAATCCAATGTTGTGACAAAGAAAAACAATTAAGCAAAAACATTTAGCATGGGGACAATATCTGGCAATACATATGATATTATATCCTTATAGTTCGCTACCTTTCGGCCGTTAGGGAAAGGGGTATGTTTTATTTTCCAGTCTCTAATACTTTCATAGTCATGTTATCCTCCCCTTCAGAATGAACTCTCCTTTGTGACAAAGAAAAACAAGCAATAACATCCGATACTAAGATTGTGTTTGACAATTTGTACAATATTCTATCATAGTAGGCCCCCACTGCTTTGCCATGATGGGAGGGGTATGCTTTTTTCATTATCATTTCTCTGAAACATTCATGACTTTTCCATTATTCAGAGTTGAGTTCAATTTCCTTTAGTTTCTTTTAGTTATTCTCCATGCTCACAGTTTAACAGCACAGTATTTTTTTTTAAAAAGGTCAAAAGAGGAAAAATATTGAGGAAGAGAGAGGGTTGCCACCAACATGAATTGGACAATTAAAAAATAGATTCTCATTTGGTTTTCTGAAAGCGGAATTAGACTGAAGCAACTGTGAAGTCTCACCTACTTACACAAGGGTTAGGGCAAAGAGTTCTTTGTAGTCTGACTCATGGTTAGGCTTCATGGATAGTGGGCATATACCCACCTGTCTATACATTAAAAGTTCCTTAACCATGAGATTTTTCATTTACATTGTTTTAATTATTGCATATATTGTTTTCTTACTTCTGCTTATTTACCCGTGCACCCATTCCTACAAATCTTCCCAGAGAGAGAGAGAGAGATAGAGATAGATAGATAGAGAGAGAGAGAGAGAGAGAGAGAGAGAGAGAAGACATGGAGGTAACTAACATAGACAGCTTTCTCAAGAAGTTTAACCAAGAAATTCAGAAGAGGGTGTCCCGGTAGTTGGAACAATCTGCACTGTATTAGGCACTGGGATACAAAGGCATAAATGAAATATCCAGGGTGGCAAACCTGTGGCCTCAAGGCCACATGTAGCCTTCTAGGTCCTTGGGTATGGTCTTTTGACTGAGTCCAAGTTTTACAGAACAAATCCTTTCTTTAAGGGGATTTGTTCTGTGATGTTTAGATTTAGTCAAAGGGCTGCACTTGAGGACCTAGAGGGCCTCATGTGGCCTTGAGGCTGCAGGTTCCCCACCTCAGAAATTATCTCTGTTTCAAGGAGCTTACATTCTGTATGGTGGAAACAACATATACACCAATAAGTAAGGTAGCAGAATGCACTGAAAAAAACACTGTATCTGGAGTTAGAGGACTTAGGTTTGAATCCTAACTCTCCCACTTGTTACCTGCAATCTTAGGAAAGTCACTGGACTTTCCTGTTTCCTGATCTGTGAAATGAGGGGGATGGACCACATGACCTCTAAGGTCTATTTTTAAATCTAAATCTATTATCTAAATAATATTATCTTTGAAATAGAAATAAATCAATACATTTATATTTTTATATCCTATGCCTAGAATATATTTCCTTCTCACTTCTGCCTCATAAAAGCCTTTATTTTCTCCTCCTTTAAGATAGCTGAAACAGAATTTTCTAGGTGAAGCCTTTCCTAATCCTCCCTATGGCTATTGCTCTCCTGGTTCAGAGAAGGCACTTAAATTGTGTCAGTTGATTGAATCATCTTTTTCTCTCTCCCAGCATCTAGCAGAATGTAAGAGGCACTTAATAATGTGGGTTGAATTGAACTGGATCACTAGCATCATATTCATTCATTTATATGAACTTAAGATTGTATTGTGGTGAAATCAAAAGTGAGGCAAAGAACAGGATAGCAGGAGATGGACATATCAATGGTGATTCCAAAAGGGTCTTCTGGTCACTTTCAGAAATTTTGAGGCAAGGGTATGATGGTAAATATTTAATGACACTCCCTCCCCCCACCTCCTACTCCCACCCTGTATTCACATGTTTAATCTGTTAACATTTTCTCCATCACTTTCTTCACTATGGTCAGTGAACAAAACATTAAGTCAAGCCCGATTTGTAGCATTTGCCTATTTCTGAGGTATAAATGCTCACACTGAAAATTCAGCTCTCCTGAGCCCTTATGAGTTGGCTCTAGCACACCCTTATTTTCATAACTCATGATGGATTCATTTTCCTTGTTATAGGTCCAGCAATACTGTTATGTTCATCAGTCATAATCTGTGCCATTTCAACTCACAGATGGAACAAAGAAGCCATGCTTTCATTGGACAATGAATTTTCTTCCATCTCAATAAAGCAAAATTTATTTGTGTCTTGGATCCTTTTTTCTTTCTTTTTGTTCTCAAGTCTGAGTGATTTCTCTTTTTGATGCTCTCAGTGGCTGATGCTGGCAGCCTTGAATTAAGTCTTATTGTAATTGAAAGACAATTGGAAGTCAAAGAGGAAGAGAGAAGACAGGTCTAGTGGGTTATCCGTGGTGTGTATGGACAAACTGATAGCTTTGGCAAAGGATTGGAAATAGGAAGGCACTTGATGAAAGTAAGAGATGGAGATCTGCTTCATGGGAGCATGCTACATGATGCTCCATAGCCTAAAAAGAGTTCTGGAAGACTGAAATGGCTATCTAATTACTTAACAGTAATTCTTTCAGGAAAGGAAAGACATTTTTCTGTTTATACTTATTTTTTTATTGGGCAGAATTCAAAAGATGTCATTCATTTCCAGCTGATAAGAATGTATTAGACAAAACCATAACACTCATAACTATGAAAAAGTAGCTTACAGTGTGTTGTTTTTAGAAAACATAGCACCTTCACTGTGTTTGTCCTCTCAGATTTCTCTTCCTTTTTCTTTTCCTTCCTAATTCTATGTCAGATTCTGTGATGTGAGGGAAGGAAGAGAAGAGGGCTCTTGTATGGGAATATCTATTTGTTCGGGCATTATACAACTTTAAGTCTTTACTTGAAAGTAACTCTTGGCAAACATTCCAGGACCATGTGTAAGTAGAGAAGGTATCATAAAAGGACTCCTTTCCACTTTCTAGCCCAATCAGATCACCTCGAATTTTGCGCCAGAAGTTGAGCATGTTTTTCCGGTGCCCAAGAGAAACTCCCAAATGGTATGCATCAGTAGCTTTCTTTACCTATGAAAGGAGCAGTCAGACATTGGAAATGAATACTTTGAAAGAGAGACAGATAGGGATAGGAACAGCATTCAGTATCTTGAAATACCGGCTGTAATGTGAAATATATCAGAAAAGGAAATTTGTAGACTCTCAGACTAATAAAGCTAGGAGTGACTTTAAAGACTGACCCTACCATTTTACAGATAAGGAGATTGAGGCCTCGAGAAAATTATTTGTCTAGGGTCACATGGTAGGTTAATGGAAGAGCTAGGGCTTAAACCAATGTATGAGCTAATTTTAAGCTCCTTTTCAGTTCTCTTCTCTGCCTCTTGGGATCATGTTTTCAAGCCAGTCCTATTGGCTAAGGCCAGTGAGTTTATCCATTAATTTTTTTAACTTTTAAACTTTATTTATATTTATTTTATTTTAATTTACTTTAATCTTAACATCAAAAAAGGATATTTCTATTCATACAGCAGAACACACAAAAAGAATTCTATATGAAATTCATATATTCTATATGAAACTTCTATAGGTGAATCTTCATTTCCTACTGTTTGCTTCTTTTAAAAAAGTATGTATCAATTTTACATGTTACTTTCAAAACTGTTCTGCTTGCCTGTGCTTCCTTCTGGAGTTTATCCATTTAGTGAAAGCCTCTTTTGAAGGGTGGTGATGGAGCCACGACCCAACAGTCTATTTGGTGTGTTGTTGGAACATAATCTTTCATTGAATAATATCTATTCTTTTTTTTAATATTAAACATTTATTAATTAATTTTTAGTTTTCAACATTCACTTCCACAAGATTTTGAGTTCCAAATTTTCTCCCCATCTCGACCCTCCCCCCACCCCATGATGGTGTGTATTCTGAATACCCCTTTCCCTAATCTGCCCTCCCTTCTATCACCACCCCCTTCTCTTATCCCCTTCTATTTTCCTGTAGGGCAGGATAGATTTTTATACTCACTGCCTATATATATCTTATTTCCCAGTTGCATGTGAAAACAATTTTTAACATTTGTTCTTAAAACTTTGGGTTCCAAATTTTCTCCCTTCCTCCCTCCCCACCCATCCTCATTGAGAAGGCAAGCAACTCAATACAGGTTATTACCCCCTCCTTTAATCTGCCCTCCCTTCTATCATCCCCCTGCTCTCTTATCCCCTTCCCACCTATTTTCCTGTAGGGTAGGATAGATTTCCATACCCAGTTGAGTGTGTATGTTATTCTCTCCTTAAGCCAAATCTGATGAGAATAAGATTCACTCATTCTCTCTCACCTCCCCTCACTTCCCCTCCACTGTAAAAGTTTTTTCTTGTCTGTTCTGAGATAATTTACCCCATTCTACTTCTCCCTTTCTCCTTCTCCCAGTATAATCCTCTCTCACCCCTTAATTTTATTTTTTAGATATCACCCCTTCATCTTCAACTCACCCTGTGCCTTCTATCTATCTATCTATCTATCTATCTATCTATCTATCTATCTATCTATCTATCTATCTATCCATATAATCTTTTTTCCCTCCAACTACTCTAATACTGACAAAGGTCTCATGAGTTACAAATATCATCTTTCCATGTAGGAATGTAAACAGTTCAACTTTAAAAAGTCCCTTATGATTTCTCTTTCCTGTTTACTGAATATCTATTCTTTAAGATAGCTCCAGTTGCATTTTCTCAGTGAAGGCTTTCATGACCCACTCCAGCTACAGGCTCCTCACCAATTTTACACACCATTCCCATGGCACTGATCACAGACTGTCTTCCGTTGTTAGCAAAATTTATACACGTAGATTAGAAATCCACAGAAACAAGGACTATGTCTAGTACTCTGCTAGCTGGCACAGTAAATAGACTCTGAGCTTAGAGTCAGGAAATCCTGAGCTCAAATGTGGCCTCAGACATTCACTAGCTGTGTGACCCTGGGTAAGTCACTTAACTGCTGTCTCCCTCAGTTTCCTCAACTGTAAAATGAGGATCATTATATCATCTCCCTTCCAGTGTTATCGTAAGGATCAAATGAGATACTGTTTGTAAAACTCTCAGCACGAGGCTTGGAACAGAGTAGGCACTTAATAAATGCTTGTTTCCTTTGTACCTCCCATCCATAGCCCATACACAGTATAGCTGATGCTCAGTAATATTTGGCTAAGTAATAGAAAGAAGCATATGTGCCCACATGCTAAAAATATTTTATCCCAAGTTTAGAAGGTGGAACTGGAAAGCATTGATGCTGTTTTTCTCTCTGGGCAGTGTGTGTGTGTGTGTGTGTGTGTGTGTGTGTGTGTGTGTGTGTGTGT